CAAAATTTGCATGTATATAGTGAAAAATATATATATATATGAAGCATGTATGTCAGGAGCACTAAAAAAAAATTGAAACAAAATAGAGCACATTAAGTAAAAAGTACATCCCATAAAAAAAAACAGAAAATAAAATGTAAAGAAAAAACAGGACAAAACACAAAACTAAGTCTATAAAGCGAGTTGTGAATTCAAATGAACTTACATGTACGGGAAACTTTCAAGAATTATTTAAAATCTTTTTGTAATACGACTGCCAGATTACAAAATATGAAAACAAAAGTATAAATAGAGGGATTTCGTTTTATGGCATGCTCTTACTGCAGTACTGAAGCTTATTTGATTTGTTAGATACCAAGGATTGGCCCGAAAATGGATGTGAGCTAGGTAATAATATTATACAGGATAATTCAAAGAAGTTTATAATTGATAAAGTTGATATTGAATTATACAATTTTAATGATTTTTGGAAAATCAATGTTTATTTTTTTTTAAAAAAAAGAGAGAGAGAGAAAGAGAAACATGATTTGCCTGAATTAGATTTGCACATGGTAATAATATAAATTAACAAAGAGGTTTTTAATAAATTTATTAATAATAACATACAATTAACTCAATGATTTTACATAGAATTTAATTACTTTCCATTCTTTTCATTGATATCCACTGTTTTTTTTTTTTATCAAACTTTGATAGAATTTGTCTATTTTTTTCTTAAATAAACAAACATTACTACAGATTCTTTTCATTTGATTAATAATGGCATTTAAATAGATGCTTTAGAATTCCAAGTAAATAGTTTATTTATATTAAAATTAAAATCATTTCTTTAGTTTTATGTTCCTGTAACTGCGAAAACTTTTAAAACTTATTAAACACATAGTTTGTGTATACAGATAATGAAGAAAAGACTTGTTCTTGCAAGAGTAGTTCAGAATTTATTTTTTTCTTTTGGTTTTTTGATCTAACTTAATTTACTTTCATCTGACAAATTAGGTCTTTATCTTTATAAATTCAGAAAAGTTTTGAGCTTCAATAAAATCAACTATATTTTTAATTTTTCAGTGATTTGTTAGTAAAATAATTACATCTATTTTAGGTAGAAATATTAAATATTTCAGTTAATAATATTTTCAAGTAGTATTAAATATTATTAATATATTCTTAAAAGTTTTAATTTGCATCATTAAAAAAACAATAAAATATCTTATTTTAATGTAAAACAAATCATGATTTTTGCTAACCCTGAGTGTGCGCAATATATTTAAATGCAATATGAAAAAAAGTGGTTAGTGGTTAAGCATGAGGATACTGACCCATGTGAATGCTAATTGAAATCATACATAATATTTAGTTAATTTCCTGTTACTATGCATTACTATATAAAAAAACTAATAAACTAGTATATATATATACAGTCAGACCTCGATATATGGTCACCTTAAGGGACATTGCAAAAGTGACCTTATAAGCGGGGTGACCTTTTAACCGATTCATTAGCAGTTCGTAACTAAGCATGTAAATAGTACACATTATAACTTTTTAAGAATAAAATTAAAACGAAAACGATCGGCCATAAATTAAATATTTAAGTCAGCAAATTTTAACAGAATTAGTAAAGAATTAAAGTTAGTTAGATTTTCAGAAATTTTTTTTAATTTAAAATAAAGCTGTTTATAAATTTCCTCAAAGTGTACATACATACATTACATCTTACCTTATTTAAAATAATCATTTATGCAGGTCTGTCTCGTTTTTGGTTTCATTTTTCGAACAATGTTTTCTAGCCTTTGTAACTTCTCAAAATGTTCCTCAGCTAACTCATGGTTTGTAAAAAAAATTTGTATAACATTGAAGGCTTTGTATTGCATTGAAGGCTTCCACTTGGGTTACAGCTACAGTCTCAGGATCACTGTCATTGTAATCACTGTCCACAACTTGTGAAACAATTTCAGAAATTGTAGCTTGTTCGTTGGCTGCAACATTTTCTTAGAACTTGAGAGGGGTAATTGCCTTGTACAGAAGTTAAATAAGATTTTGTTAGAACAGAGCTTCCTTCGCCTCAGATAAAAATTACCTTATAAGCTATAACGATTTTTAAAACTTGACCATATATCTGATAATCTGTAACAAAGAATTCCTATTCAGTAAGGCGGGACTTTGGAAAAGTGACCTTATTTTCGGACGACCTTATATCGAGGTCTGACTGTATATGTATATATATCTATATATATATGCAATGTTTTAAAAAAATATACATATATAGATTTTATTCTTATTTTCCAAAATATTGAATCCAACATGGTAGTAATATTAGTATTTAATTTACATCACACTAGAGTTTTGCAATGTGCTATTGGGGACAGTTTGGGAAATATCTCTGCGGATGAACACATGACATCACAATTTTGATCCTTTGCAGAGGGGTGGATTTCCCACTTTGATAGCTCAATGGCCTGCATCTTGCAATTTACAACGGAACAGCTTAAGAAGAAACTATACTGTGCATCCTTGGGCCCTTCGCAGGCTGATCAAAGTGGTCACCCACATGCTCACTGATCGCAGTGAGTGATACTTGACTGGTGACTAACTGGGTACTACGTCTTACAATCAGTTCACAGTGGGACACAGACTAACATGGAAAATTCATAACAAATTTAAGTCATGACCCAAAGGTTTAAATTCTTCAATCTATAAAAATATTTTAGAAATAAAAAAAATAGCTAAAATAAAAATAATAATTTTGATAGCCATACCTCTTTGTTTGTAACCAAATATAAGATCAATCCATTGATGCAGCTGGCAGGAAACAAATTCAGATTCCAAAGCCTACCAAAAATAGATAGCTAAACGTAACTCAAAATTATATGTTATTAATTTAAAACAAAAGTTAGTATTACATTTAAAAATAATTCGATAAATTTAAAAATATTTTGGACAACTAACGCACCATTCTGTTGATACGGACAAACTCCTCTGGTGTGGAGGCCCATGGTGGAAGAATCACATCAACCACCGGTACACCGTCTTCTTGGCAGCCTAACTGATAACCATTTTTATTCATGAACATTTCAGCCAAATAGAAAAATTCAGGTATCAATTCCTGAAAATTATACACAAGATATTTACAACTTACATGTTTTCAATATAAAAACTAAGAACACATTTTAAGTTTATAAAAAGGGGATATTTCATCTTTCAGAAATGTCATATTTGCAAACTTAAAAAACAGATAACTCAGACGAAAAAAATCGCATAGCTCCAACAATTTTTATTAAAATAAGTCTAAATGCCGTTCCTTCTTACTCCAATTTTTAGTAATTAGTTTAAAAAATTAATAACTGGGTGTTATGGTCATAACACAATATGAGTTATGCTCATAAGAGCTAGCTTTTAGTTTTTAAAATTTTTGAAAATCGGAGTGATTGTAAATTACACCCAGACTTTTTTCACAAAAATTAGAATAGCTCGAATTTTTCAACTGAGTTTTAAGCTATTTAAGCCTGCAAAAACTAAATACAACGTTTGTAAATCGTGGAATTGCCAAAAGGAAGAAGAGTAATGATAAGTTCAGAGAAAAAGAAAATTTCTTAATGAAATATTACGATAAAACCATCAAATTTCGTTTGTTTCGAAATGCGATTATGGGTCTTAATACAATTTAATTAGAAACTATGAAATTTCTAAACAGAAATTCGATTGATAAAGCAAACTGTGCAATTGTAGAAACGAGAATATTAATTTGTATTAAAACAAATACTAACATTCAATTGTAGAAACGATAATATTAATTTGTATTAAAACAAATACTAACATAGTTAGCCAATTAATGATTTTTATTAAAGTGCCACAGAGTTAAAAGTAAAAATGCTTTGGATTTTGTTTACCTACAAAGATTAAATACTAAAACAAGAGTATAAATGGCAATTAAATATATTTTTCAACATTTATTGTATAAAATGAGAAAAGATAAAAAGTTGGGTTTGCAAAGATATGTACAAACTTAGTAACATTTTTTGGTGAGACTAAAAAATATAATTTTTAAAAATATCTAATATTTATAATAGAGTAATATATTTTTTCTTGCTTAAAATCATTTTTAAAATGTTAAAATATTAGAAATCACCAAAAATTCAAATGAATGGAGAAAGACATATGAGCTATTCTGTTTTAAAGAGAAATGAAAAAGGAAGAATTATCATTCATTAAAGCAAGTCCCTAAACATGAACAAGCTGAGGAACAAAAACTTAATCAAAAATTCATATTATTGCAACAACAAAAATTACTTTAACATCTGAAGTATCTCTTTGGCAATTTTTCCAAGCCTGAGCTACAGAATGGAACATCCTGTTGGCATGATCAAATTTACCTCCTTGCAATGACAAGAACATGGTTGTAAATGGCTCCTAAAAATTAAATCACATTTATTATTAATTTTAATGACATGATCTAGTGATAAAAATATGGAAAACAACAAAAGGTTTTAATTAAAAACAAAATATCTAATAATTCTATAAAAAAAATTCAAATTCCTACATTATTTAAGAAAAAAAATCTACTTACAAAGTAGAAATTTACTAACAAATTGCAAGTGAATAAAATTCTACAAGATTATTAAGATTTCCTTTTTTAAAGCAAAAAAAAATATTAAAGATGTAAATTTAATTTATAAGCTCTTTAAAATAATGAAGAACCAGAAAACTAATAATATATTGGAAATTTCAATTGTGAAAAGATAAAATTGTGCACAGATAAAAAAAAAAAAAAAAAAAAAAAAAAAAAAAAAAANAAAAAAAAAAAAAAAAAAAAAAAAAAAAAAAAAAAAAAAAAAAAAAAAAAAAAAGAGCACATTTTAGAAATAAAAGGTAAAGATTAATTCTGAACAAAATTTGCATGTATATAGTGAAAAATACAAATCTCTATCTCTGATTGAGACAGATGAACAACATGGCAAAACAGCAATTGCATTGCTTTTGTAATTCCATAAGAATAAAAAATAAATGTTATGTTCTTTTAAACATAATCAGTTATTGGAAGCTAAAGGATTATTTAAGACCCCAGACTTCCAAATTTCTGAGTCTTACTAGAAGTGATCCCTATTTAATATAAATTTCTACTTGAACTGTATACATAAAAAATTTTATGATTTGGAATAAAACACATTGAATAACTGATTCAGCAATTATAAATCCACAAAGAATTATAACTAAAATTACTATTTTCATTTAAAATTATTTTCATTTTGTAATTCTGCTAACAAAACAGAAGAAAAAATAAATTTTTTTTTTTGCTGTTTAATTTTTTCCAAATAAATCTGCTTGCACACTATTTTTTCGTTTTGTTACAGAAGACCACCTCTATTTATGACCCCTTTTGGGAGGCACAGAATTTTTTCCATAGACTTTATCTTAGAAAAAAACTTTAAGACCTCTCCCACCAATCAGGGAAGCATCCACACCGAATGCAAAAAATGTCAAATAAGGAAACACGAAAAAATATCAAAGCAAAAAATTCAAGAAAACAAATAAGTAGATTAAAATGTATTCAAAACATTTGTGTGAGACTCTTATTTTGAGAGCTTTTTTGACGATACAACCTCATGTTGCAGTCAGAGTGCACTAAAAACGTGCTATCAATGATTTACTTTCAGAGTTGAAAGTTAAATTAGAAAAAAACATTTTTTTAGAAAAAACAAGCATCTCCTATAAACAAACCTCTTCACAAATTTTAAAGCTAATTTTTATAATATAAAAAATTAAATGCAAACTTAAACAAAAAATATTTTATTTATTCAAATAGGTTCAGTTGGAATAATTTTTATAGATGCTGAATCTTATTCATCGATCCATCTTTTCATGAGACCAACAGAAGTGGCATTTATGCACCAAGAATGACGCTGACTAAAAATTAAATCCTTTGCGAAAAACCATGCACCTTCGATAACAATTTTGAGGTCAATGGAAATAACCTCTAAGAATGACCCTAACCTCTATCAACGACCATTGTACCGTGGAACGGAAAGTGGTCACTACCTAGAGGTTTCACTGTATTATTATTATTTACTTTGAATGGCGAGGGATGCGTCATAACTTACCACCAACTACTTTCTAGTATTTGATACACTATAGTGCATAAGAGGAATTACTGCCCAGATAAAAAACAATAAAAATTAATTACTATAGTATGAGAAGGCAACTTACCACTCTGACTAGCCAGTTTAAAGTGAAAGCAGATGTTGAATAATGGGTCCCAAAATGAAAGGGAGGTATTGTTTCATGTTCCCAGGTTTCATAACGCTCCTCAAAAAATGCTTTTCTGCTAGGATTAAGCGCTCCTACAGGCTGAAATAAATAAATTACGGTTTTTACCACCATAAAATAAAATTCAATCAAAACAAGCTTTGTAACAGCTTTTCTGCGTTACAACCTATAGTATCAGTGCTGTAGTTGGTAACGCCATTCCCCGAAATATTTGATTTACAGTGGAAAATTTTTTTAAATATTTGAAAAAAATTTCAAACATTCATTTTTTTATTCGTTCTCATATTTAAAGTCAAACAAAAATTTCTGCTCAGTTCTGGGAAAAAACAATTCTACTCTGACAGAAGTGCAGATTGTACTAATCATATTCGAAAGGACAAATGAGCTTTCAATTCTGAATGATTCGTTAACAAATCCGAATGATCGGTTTTCATTAATTTCATGAGGTTTGTAAAATTTTGAATATTAAATGACATTATTTTTCTTTACAGCTCTGTTTTACATATTCTATAATCTGGTAGGCAAGGAAATCAATCTAAGAACAAATAATTATGTTCCAGTAATAAAAAAAAATTAAAAAAAAACTCAGGAAGTTCACTTACTTTTTATTTTAATAAAGATCCTTTTAAAGTAAGTAACATAAGTTATTATTAATGTGAACTTCTATTACTGTTAAACTCTTACAAAACAAATTAGTATATTTTTTTTTTTGTACATGCATGTATGTATTTTCTTCCTTCTAGATATCAAGACAAAGTGTTTAACAGATAAGTAGTTAATAGTGTTTTTCAAGTGCTAATAAAGAATTGTATAATTGGTTTTATTTAATCGAAATTTATATGGTTAATTTAATTATATAATTATTTTATCAATAGCTTTTATGATGAATACACAAAATATAAAAAAAATGCAAATTGGGAAAAACCTTTTTTTTAAAAAGATAAAAAATAAATGCCTGCATTTTTTAATTAAAGTTGGCCAAGTAATTTAAATTGGTTGTTTTTCGGCTTACATAAAATCAGTCAAATATAACATATATGCTATAAAAAGATGAGAGTTCCCCAAATATTTTTTCTAACTACAGCACTGTATAGTATACATTGACAAAGTGACAACTTTTAGTCCTAAAACCACAAAATTTTCCCCTATGGGCTGCATCTCACCTACTAATTGCTTTCACAAGAATTTTGTAGGGATGCCAAAACTGTTATGGATAAAACTGTTAAACATTGAAGAGAAGGAAATTCTTGATAATCTTCTTAGCCATTGTGATTATTCAAAAATTTTGGGAAGGGTTAAAAAGTATAAGTGCAAATTACTTATGTAAAACTGAATTCATCTCACATGATTTAAACGAAAATGAAGAAAATAAGGAAAATGAAAAAAATAAACCAGAATTATGGAAAAAAAATCAAGAATAATTTTTCTTTGGATTCTGATTTTAACACTTCTGTCAATGCAGATGTAAATCTTGAAACAACTGAAATATTATTAGAAAATAATTCAATTATATATATTTTTATTTCAAATCTATTTTATTCTTGTTATGCTGACTTTGAACTCAGCAAATTTTTATGAATATTTTGAAAAATATATTCTTTCTTTGTAAAGAAAAAAAAAACTCAAAGTAATTAAGTCTAAAGACACAACATTATAAGATAATCAAAAATTCTTAAATAAATTGTGACATTCCAGATCCTGAACATTTTTTGCAGTCCTCGAAAATATGAACAGTTTTGTAATTAGAACATAAAATACACGGTAACAATTTTATAAAAATGTTTACTCTATGTACAATAACAAAAAACTGGTTAGTTATAAAATCTACTCAATAAAAAAGCAACATAAATATTCATTACTATCCCAATAATAATTATAAGGAATTATTCAAAAACTATTTAATAAAGTAAAAAGCATAATTAAAACACAATGGATGAACATAGTAAAAAAAATGACATAGTAAATTATTCAATAATAATATGGCAAAAAACTGCACTTTTCCTTATCTGAGTTAAACTTTGTTAAAAATTATGTAAAACAAAATTGATAATACCTTGGAAAGATCTCTATAGTTACTAGGTAGGCTAAGATCCAACTCAGGTGATTCATAATTCGTCAACACCCAGGGGAAAACAGGGTATTGGTTCAAATCATTGTAAGTTCGACCTGTATCATAAAAATATAAATGTACGAAAGCTAAGTGCAAAATTTTTTAATTTTTTACTAATTTAAGAGTCACAAATGTAATGAATAACAACCAAAACCAAACTAAACCAAACCCAAAAATGTAATGAATATAAATAAATTTGTAATTATTATAAATTTAGAAATAATTGTTTTATAAAAGAATTAAATTATAATATTGCTTTAATTACAGCAATATTTTTTGTCAGTATCACACTGAAAATATCTAAATGAAAAATAAAACTCTAAAAATTCGTTTTCTTCTAGGAAAAAAAAAGAAAAAAAAAGAAGAAAGAAATTTGAATGAATTTACCAGCAATAGTGTTTAGGAACATAAGGTATTCAAAATTTGTTATTTCTCTTCTTTGCCACTTCTGCGTCATGTTGGATTGTTGGAAGATTTGGCGAGGAGACATTAAAGATGCCCTCCTGCACATTAAAAAAAATGGCATGTTTAGAAAAATAGAAAAAAATTCAAATAATGTTAATAATTATCTTATAGAGTATAAATACCTAGTTTGAGGAATGCCATATTTAATTCCAACACCAACACATGGAAGGGCTTTCACAACTTTTTTCACAGTTAAATGATCCATGAAAGCAAGCATTATGGAGGCTAAAATAAAAAACAAAAAAATATAATGATAATCAGAGAGCAAGGTTTAAAATAAAAGAAAATGTATTTATGTATAAACAATAAGCATACCTGCTGTTTTCAAATAAATAAAATAGAAATCAGTAAATTTTATAAATATACAATCTCATAAATATATTCACCAGTTAAACGGACATCAAAACTATGTGCTCAGCTCAGAATATTTATACTTTTTGAAAAAAAGAAACTGTGATCAAAATAACAAGGTTTTAAACCATTTCAGACTGCTGTAGTAGAAACGCAACATTTTATTACGATATAAGAAGTACCATTATGAAAAGGGATTAAGTTTAAATCAATTACCAATTTAGTTTCAAAACATCACAGTACATTAATTTTAGACAATTTTATTGAAGCTTAACAATGTCAATATATTTGAATAAACACACCTGTGCCTTTTTTTTTCCAAGTTAAATTTTGACAATGAAATAACTGGGTTACCATTGATAATTTTTTTGAAAATAGCTCATAGGAACAATGATCTTGAATGGGTAAATAATAAATTAATTTGTTAATTCTTATAAATATTAGGAGATAGTAATTTCAAAATTTTGTAAATAACTCATATAGAGTTGAAATAATTAGAAAATTATTTTTAAAAATTCATGTTTTTTTTTTCCTTTTGTACTATTATTTTTTTTTAATAAATTTTAAAATATGTAATATAAGTTTTAATTAAGAAGTTGATAAGCCTCACATTTTACACATTTATTCAGAACGTATATATCTGTCAAAATTTGCTCTCTCGAATCTTCTAGATTATAAAATATCTCAAACTTTGATACTAAACAAAATTTTGTAATATTGTAAGATCATAACAAACAAAACATAATATAAAATAATAAGTATATTTATTCAAAAAAATTTTTTTGAAGGGAGTTGCTTCAAGTTATTTATACCATTCAAGTTACTCATTCTAAAATATAAATAATATAACTTGAAATTTTAATAATCAGTAAAGAATCAAAATACTTGTCTATTTTAACTGTTTTATACTTTTTTTTTTAATTCTGGTATTTTTAAAATCATGTAAAAAATTTTAAAAAAATGATGGATTTTTTACTTTAAAAAACGAAAGTTATTATTATAAAGAAATTGTGAGTAAAAGCTTCACCATCATCGCTTTTGGCAATTGTGCTCGCAAATTTTTAAATATTTTATGATTTAATTACGATTTATTTGTAGATCAATGATTCATAGAACGTTATTGAGTGTATCCCGCTGACATTTGAAGATAAAAAACGCAAAAGGGATATTTTTTAAATTTTACAGAGCTGTAAAAACAGTCTTAAATGGTCCTCTCAGGCGAAATTTATAAAACTGACTACAACGACTATAACTATTTCCACACAACAAGACAGAAATGTGCGGTTTGCTGCTCAAGCTAAGGAAACAATTTATATAATTCTTCAATTTTTCTTTAATTAGCAGTGGCATCTATTGACGAAACTTAGAGAGAATAAACAATGGTTTTCTAAGCAAAACGCAGCAAACTAGTTATTTCCATCTCCTGTTTTTCGCTATTCGATTTTTTCTTAATCGATGGTCGCTTTAGAGCCATTTACATTAGACAAACAATAATTATATAAATAAAACTAACTTCTTGAGGCCAGAAATATTTCCAGAGCAACATTTTGCAGTAAATATCGCCTCGAGAACACAGCTCGTATCTCACTAAAATGCCACTTCCCATGGACATGATCACAATATTTGATAACCTGAAAGAAAGAAAAAACTTTTTAAAATAAAGCACAAAATAAATAAAGTAAATATTATTTTAAAGGCTACGAAAAAAAAACACTTAAATTAATGATGATCACATACAAATGCAAGTAAAACAGGAGATAAACACAATAAAATTATTAAATAACTTCGTTGAAAAAAATTCTTGAAGCAGAAGGTAAGAATTTTATTGTAAATACCGAAAATGAGAAAAATAATTAAATAAAAATAAAGTCAGGCGATAATTTCGTCAAAAAACATTATACTCGAGAAGCCCTTATTTTTAATAATAGAAAAAAATTGACATTAGTATCATTTTTCTGGGGGGAGGGGACAGAAAAATGGGACAGGTATTTCCGACTTCGCACGAATATTAAACACAATAATAAATACCTGAATAACGAGTATAAATATATATTTTTAAATTAATATCGTGAGATGAGAAGGAAGACTGTATGAGTTAAGAGAAATGTTTTCGACATAAATTTTTTTTTCTTTCAATAAAGCGAAATATACTAAAAAAAATTCGTAAAACTTTTTAAATACTTTTTTCCTAAAATTTAACTAAATTGAACGATAATTATTTCAAATTAAATATTTTTAGCAGTTGTTCGGTGACAACTTTAGGTTCGAAATGTCTTCCCCTATATTAGTAATTATTTAGTGATAAACATTCCTTACAGGCACCTAAAATGAAGAACATTTTCTTTGTTTCCTAACATTTCGAAGGCTACGAACATTTTAAAACTGAATCTTCAATAAGTCTTCATTTAAATCTCAATTATAGAATACATTAATCGAAATGGAACTAACAAATAATTTTCGTATTTAAATTCAAATAGGTACTTCTTGCATATCTCAATTTTAAATATTTCAAAACAGTGTTGAATTGAGTGTGATACATACAATCTCTGGCACAAATTTCTGATATTACTATGGGCTCTTCCCACGTGACATAACAATTACGAGGGATCGTTGAGTACTATGGTTATGTCAAGAGCCGTGGTGGCTCAGAGCTTCGCTTTGCAATGAGGTGAATCGGGTTCGAATCCCAGCAATGGCTGGTCGATACGAATTCCGCACCCGATTCGCACCGACCACAGTGCTAAACGTAAAATATCCTCAGTGGTAGACGGATCGTGGATTAGAGTCCCTTTGCAGTCAGGCTAACCGTGGGTGGTTTTCAAGGTTTTTCTCACCATGTAACGAAAACGCGTGTTAGTTCCATCAAAACAAATCCTACATGAAGGCAAACCTCTCCCAATACTTTCTGAAGCACCTGTCTTTTGTATTGGGTTAAAAATTACAAGGCTACGGAGTTGCAAATCCAAAGATTGGACTGGCTGTTCAACGAAGTTATAAAATAAAGTTAAAATATTGTTCGACTTTGCTAAAACGAGAAAGAAAGGCACTGTTTTTATTTTTCAATAAAAGACCTAAAAAAATATTTGTGTAATTTGTGTACTTAAGAGGCATAACTTTAAATTTGATAGCCGTACAATAAATGTATCAAGATTTAATTTGAAATGATATTTTGTTATTCTGCAAATAGAGACATTATCATTTAAAGTAACATTCAAAAGGTTGAAATTTACTTGTTTTTAAATGAATAGAATTTCTTGAAAGATTGCAAAAATTGGTAAAACCATTAAAGTTACTTTTGTTACAAAAGAATATGAAAACATGTCTCTATATAGTATATGGTTTTAACTTTTAATCTTGAATAATTTAATAGAGGAATGTATATCGTTTTATTCTTTTATCATTTACACCCACTAGAAAGAATAAATTATTAATTGATAATTAAATAATTGATCTTTTAATAAAATAAAAAACCAGTACTTTTAACTCAGCATTATATTAAGTTACATCATTTTTAAACATAATATAACTTTTTAACAATTTAATGAATTAAAAAAAGAATTTCAAATGTATAACGGTTTATCCAATTGACTGTAAGTAATTACCGAACAAATTGGGATGAAATTCATTATTTTCCCTAGCATTGCATTAAGAAATATTTCAAATTCTAGTAAGATATTTCAAATTCTATTTCGAAAGAAGAAAATGCAAATAAAAATTCTTAGCAATCTAAATACACTGTAATACATATACACTACAAAATGGTATAATCTACACTATGGTACATATTATATGAAATGGGATAATCCAACACCCTATCCTACACCACGTGACCAAGTAGTTAACGTTGAGAAGAGTTCATTGGGTCCGCTTTTAATTACTTTGTTTACTTATTTTACTTTTTATTATTATCCAAGTCATTAATTTCACATCTACAAAAATATAAAGAAAAAAAAACGTTTTAGAGAAGTAAAACAGAAATCAATCACTCAACAATAATTTCCTTAATAACGTTTCAAATATTAATCCTCCCTAATGTAATTAATTAATCCTTCGTGAAAAAAAAAGTTTTTGAAGTAAATAAACTTTAAGAACATACGTCAAACAAGCCTAATTTTCATCCCAAAACAATTATGCTGAAATGAAAAATGGGCAATATTTGCATAAATTATTTTTCCGGATCAATTAATTTCAATATACCAGAGAGCTAAAGATTGAAAGAAAAAAAAAATATAAAATTATTTAAAAAAAAAAATTTAAAGTAGAACTACCGATTTTTGCCGAGCAATTAAAAAAACAACAACCTAAATGTTTCACGATAAATTTCCAGAAAAGCGGTTAAACAACTATTTACTTTACCTTGCTCGCGTTATTAACTCTAAAATAGAATTAACTCTAAAAAATGATTTTTTTTATAGAAAAATTATAATTAATTTTTTGCAATGTAGCTTATATTCAAAAATGCCAAATAAAAAAAAATCTAAATTTTGATTTTTCTTTCCCCCCGCTGCTTGAGTTTATTATTTTACTACATGGCAGAATTAGCTTTGTTTTTTTCTTCGATTCAATTTTCTTAAAAAAAGCTTAAAATCCATAATAACATTTTTAAAATACCAATTAAATAAAGGTTTGATTAGTTATTGAGTTAAAAAATTATTTTTACGCAAGTTGCGTTTTATATCTATGAATGTATGATGAAAAAAATTAATAATTTTACTTAAATGGCAGTAGTAAAGAATTTTTATGCAAATGTAACAAATTTTACAGAATGACATTTCCATCTTATCAATATTATGTCATCAACTTATTTTAAAAACAGTTCAGGTTATAATTATAAGCTGAGTTTAAAATATTAAGGAGAAAAAAAGTTTAGGGACAATAATTTATCATTTATAACACCTATCATATTCCTCCAAATTCTATTTATAAAATTGTAGTTGTAAACAAATCTTAATTATACAATTTTTAAAGCATGATTTATTTCAAAATAAGACCATTCTTTTCATAGAATCCGACAAGGTAATATAAAAATAACTTGATAGATGGTCACTTTTTTTACAATAGAAATACTGCAAACTGAATAGTCTTTTTATAGAAGTGTAAGATAACTAGCAAATTGAGTTTCAGATTATTTAAATTCTTTAAAAGGTTATAATTTTGTTTTGGATTTAAATTTCGATTTCTCTAAATCATTTATATAGTATTCAGCTAGCACTGACATATACAGAGATGCCAACTGCTCCGGACACGCCAAAATACTTAAAAAAAAACGGTAAATAACTACTAAGTAAATTTTTCAAATATTTGACTATTTTTGCTTGCTTTTTAAAAGATATAGCATGACATAAGTACTTTAAAGTGGCGAATTATATAAGCCTACGAATTATTTAGAAATAGTGGTGAATATAAATCTACTAAATTGAATTTATTAAACCAAGAATTACAATTAATAAACTACCACTTTAAAATATATATTTGCTGTCCGGAGCAAGTTGGCATCTCTGCATATATAATAAAAAAATTCTATCATAATTCTCATTCATAACATATTGAATTTATAAAAAAAGAGCCAAAACTTATACATCTGTAACAAAAAAAAAATTGTTTTATTAACGCGAAAATATTCTTTTTGTGATAATAATAGAAAATATTTTTTTAGTGATAATAACTATAGTGGTTCCCAAACTTTTTAGCTACTTGGATCAATTTTTTGAAAAAAAGAAGAAAAAAAAAGAAAGATAGAAGTTTTTTTATGCTTTGTGAAGTTTTAAATTAATGATATGTTTGAAAAAACCCATTAGATTGATATCAATGACTTAAAAAAAATAGTGGATTTCAATCAAGCATATTTAAAACTAACGAGCCTTGATCTGAACAGTAATATATTTTTTATTTCTCAATAGACGTACAGTGCGGGGAAAAATAAATAAATAAATAAAATAAAATAAAAAACAGACCACCATGATTTCGCTCTAATAATCGGATGTTCCAGTTCTAGAACTCAATAGTTCGAGGGGGTGACCTCAAATGTGTAAAATAATTAGTGCAGATGATGATTTAAGTAACAAAATCAAACACAAAAACGTACTTTCTCTGAATAAACATACCTTTTTTTTCCCCCAACGGATTCGGATTTTTGACCCCCCAAAATAAAGCGAATCTGGAAAATATGGTCCCCAAAGTTTCGTCAGCAGAGCGATCCAAAGTTTGGACCCCTTAACGTTAATTTTACTTTTTGCGTATTTCTGCATATTTCGAGAACTTTTTAAGTTGAATTGAAAACATTTTGCACACAAGTACAAAACTTGTTGGTCAAAAGAAAATTTCATACACAAAAATAAATTTTAGTAATTATTTATTATTTTTTTATACAATAATAGATCAATTTTTTTTAAAAAAAATTGTAATGTGCGTAATTTTTACATCATTTTAAAGTATGTAATTTTGCATGACAAAATACAAAATTAAAGCGAAGTTGGATGAATAGTTGAGAAATCGAATGTTAAAGAAATCGAATATTGAAAATTCGATTTCTCAGGAAATATTTAACCGGCTTCGCTCAAATTTTGTACTTGGCTATGTAAAATTACATACTTTAAAATGATGTAAAAAATTGTATACCTTACAACGAGAT